GTCGGGTCGACGGGCTCTGCTCGTTTGTGTACGTTCCAATAATTCATAATTCACCAGGATACTCAATACAAATCATCAGAATAATACAATGATTATTAATTTACTGTTCATTATAAAATTATGGAGAAATAATAGTCCTAAGTAACATCGTCGCGAATATTGCGGTATTATATTCAATTCGTGTTCTTGCAATTACGCTGATCGATCTCAATTAATTTGCTAATTATTATTTCCTCGAATTAATATAAAATTCTCTCTCTTCCTCTCTCTCTCTCTGTAAGAATTCCATGAACAGTTACGAGAATTTGCTGCGAGGGAACAGTGTCAATTTTCCGTTCGTCGTGCGAAAGAGGATACGAGGGCGTTTTTACATCGATCTAACATGTGGAAGGCCGTGAAAGAGAGAAAAAAGGGAAAAAGAGAAAGAGAGAGTGAGCGAGCGAGGGAGGGAGGGAGGGAGGGAGAGACGAAAAAATTTCACGGCGTGGAAACTCGGCCACGAACAGCCTGAATGGCCCTAAAATAGCCGTTTGGACAAATTTGGACGACGTCCAATTTCAGACGGCAGAATTTTTCTTGTCCCCGCGCAACCGCCAATATTTGTTTCGTATCGGTACCTTAGAACAGCACGTGTTCATTTTCGTTTGAATGCGCCTTGGTGGCCTTTCAGCGGCGAACGATAATAAATCGCGAGTATATTGGTGCGTCGCTTCACATCCGCGCGTTGCGCTTTTAAAAACATTGCTTTTTTCCCCGCCCTCGAAACATATACATCTCGTAAATACGCGTGTATGTGGTGTAATCTATGCTCGATTTCGATTCATCGCACGGTGCTCTCTACATATTTCATACGGCGCAGCTGGTTTCGGCGGAGGCGGCCGCCGTGCGAAATTTTGTCGTTCCGCGGCGCGCAAAGAGAAAGGATTCGTTCCTTACAAACTCAATTTGCGACTTTATAACGCATATTCCCGATTTATGACGCGTATGCGAGATCCCTTCAACGAACAACACAGGGAGGTAGATATCGAGTCGAGAAACATCTATTATTTCCTGCATCGCGCCTTTGATCGAACTGCGTTTCAGATTGAACTGGGCTCTGCTTTAGCGGGCATTAAATTCATCACTTGGGATATACGTACTTCGCACCTGCGAACGAATGCAGATTTAATGTTTCGTTTTATCAAAAAGTTATTGAAAACGTCGAAACTAAATATACCGCGGGCACCGCGCCGCAAAGGGTGGCAAAGGTTTAATCCAACTTTGGCGAAGAAAAATCGTTCACTGCAGCAAAACGGTAGGGATGTCGCGTCGCGGCCACACTTTGAACATTCCGTGCGTGCCATCGCGCTGTGTGCATCCCTGTGTGTGTGCGCCGCTCTGTGTAAGCGCGCATGTGCGTGCGTGTGATCGAGGAAGGGTAATCGTATTTAGATTATATGCTAGATGCACCACGATACTCCCGAGCCGGCATTACAAGCGCGAGTGTATCGATTTGTCGGTTGACTGATTGACGCTCTCGCCAGACGCCGCCGCCGCGTTGTTGCAGCGCGGCGTCGGCGCGCACCGCGATGTCAACACAAATCCTCGCACGCCATTAACGACAACAGGTCGGCGTGCTGTTTGCACGCAGGTGGAAATCGCGTGAAAGTTTACGCGCGGCGTGATGCGGGATCAGCCACCGATGGCCCAACCGGGGCCGGCGCGAGGCTGACAGCAGCAAAAGCGGCCCGTTTTTCGCGAGCGTGCGTTTTCAGCGAGATAACGCTTGCGCGCGCGACTCGCGTTTCCGCCGAATGGACGATTCCGCCTTGCGGAATCCTGTCCGCGTCCCTGCCCCGGCATTAGTTCTCCTTCCGTCGCCAGATTACATCGACGGCAGGCGCACGTTTCTCGCCGTGCGAGCCGCGTAATTCGCGCTTGCGGAGAATTATCGAGTCGCACCGAATAGCAATCGAATATTGGCGATGATTGATATAATAATTTGGAATTTCAAAGCACACAGCCGGCTCATACCGGCGGTATTGAATTGCAAATAATATTGGTTTACATTCATTAACGAGTTTCGGCCGCGCTTTCAAAGAGGGCAGGAGGAGGCTCGATGTAATCGAGAAATCGACGTGGATTATCTCTCTCTCTCTCTCTCTCTCTCTCTCGCGCGCGCGCGCATGTTCGTCAAGTCCGTATTATTCAAAATATAAGCAGCTTATACGACGCTATAGAAACTCAGACGTGCGCATGAGAAGAACCGGCCGACTGACACACGCCATATCCGTTTATTGTTTAGTAATCGAGTATGTGTCTTGGCGTAATACTTAATACTTTCCGCTCGACGGAGTGTGAAAACCGGCCTGGAACGCACTTCAATGCAATTATCGTCGGGGATTCGAGTGCCGTCGGCCGCTTCGGGAATACAATACGCGGTAAGGAGAACGAGGACGCTAGAAAATATAATATGTGGCGCGAGGTCATCCCCCGTGTACGACGAAGTCAATTTAATGATTTAATGATAACGGATTTGTCTGCGACGCGCGAAATTCCAGCTCGATGTCCTCGCGATGCAGATTCGATGACAAATTTGATTATCCGCCGTTTAAAACGCCGCCATTGAACGTCGTTTTGAGTAAGTCTTAAATTCAATACTATTTTTGCATTTTGACACTAAACTTTCAACGTCGCATTTTTTTTCGTCACGAAAGGCCGAGTTGGTTTTTTTTTACATGCGCTATATTACATTTTTAAATAATATTTGAAATTGTACCATTTGATATCTTTCTGGTCCTTTATTTAGTACTTGTTATTAAAAGTTTTAAAAAATAGCTTGCAATAATTGTTCTCTCTCTCTCTCTCTCTCTCTCTCTCTCTCTGTCTCTCTCTGTCTCTCTTTCTTTGAAAAGTATATATCAAAAACTTCTATTTTTTGGTGAATGTCGATATGTTTGGAGATTATTTATTTTTCGACGAAATTTCATCCGGAAATCACATCGTATATTAACAAGCGACGAGAATATTTGAGCCGTCACTCCATCATTGCAGATATCTTTGCAAATTCCGCCAGTATTATACACACGGCATTAAACATATTTAATAACGGTCACTCGCGAAGGCTCGAAATTCGAGCGAACGTCTCTCATTAGCGAGCGAACGTCTCTCATTAGCGAGCGACTCGCGTGTAACGTCGTTTGTAATGCGCATGCCTCGTCGCCCTCAGCAATTATGATCTCTCCGGTTACTTTTTCGAGTGCAGTGTACTCTCGATTATTCACGTCAATTCAACGTCGTTCGTCAATTTGCTGGGGCCTCCGCGTTTCAATCATAGCGCTGTGCACGTGACGTTGCGAATCAACCGAACGTTCCGGCGCTGTGGCAATCGATAACAATGTAGAGGTCCGTACAAATAACCTTCCTATTATTTCACACGGCAAACAAATCGCTGCTTGAGAGGCCACTTTGGAGCACCGCCGTTTCGCATGCCGTTAGTCCCGCTGTAGTCTGCAACTTTTGTTCCGCCGCCAAGTTGCAGCGCGCTCTCAAACGTCGCGCTCCGCGCGATCTTCCGCCGCGAGCGTATCGCGCGCTCTCTCTTTTTTATTTCGCTAAATTGAATGAGGTATCATGCTCGGATAATACATGCGCCAGCTGGATTATCTGCAAGCACACACACACACACACACACACACACATGCACTCACGCGGGGATAATCGAGTGCACCTTATATCCTACATTCCTATAAGTCTTCGTCACACCACTCTGAAGCGCCTCTTTCGTTCAGATTATCTCGAGACGGGTCGTTCGAAATAAGGAGCTTACACGCGCACTTGTGTGCGACAGCACTTACCGGATGCCACTTGCGCATACGTACAGGCTGTCTCAGAACTATCGCTCGTTTCTCCGGTATCTCGCGCGACTTTGAGACGAATCAGACAAACGAAGCGAAAGCAGCGATGTCCGTGAAAGGAAAGAGAGAAGAGTGGACGCAAAGACATTCCCCTTCTGATCTTACGATGTTTGATACGGTCTAACGATGGACGATATCTATACGATTTTCAGAAAATCGATCTTTTCCTCCCAAAATCAATTTTGTTTAGAGTTGAGATCCTTTTCTGCATTCCTGATTTTTCTACAAACCGATTCTTTTCAGCCGAATTTCCATTCGCGGTTGCGATACTTCCTCATCAATGTCGTTTCATTTAATGAAGAATTCAACGGGAGTGAACGTTTGGAGGGACCCATTTGCACAAAAATCGAGCAGAAGAGAATCCGTTAAAAAAAAAAAGAGATCGAGTCTTGGAGGAGAAGATCGATGTCCTGAATCTTGAGAGGTCTTGTACACGCTGTGTATTTTTTACCTTCCTCCTCCACCGAGAAAACACCGGAATAACGTACGGAACGTTTGGATAATCTCATTTTGCAGTTGAAAGCTTTCCGCCATTGGCGTCTGGCATTTGTACTCTGATTGGCTTCTTTGTAATACTGTTGACCGAGGAGATATTGTTGGCCCCGTAACGTTGGCTTTTTAAAACGTTCGTCAGAATTACAGACGTTCGTGTAGAGTAATATTCGTTTGCGCGTTTACACGTTAAACTATTAATTTCTGCACGAATGCGCCTTACGCACGTACAGGCGAAACACAGCGGCGCGGGGGATTGTCGCCTGATCCTCTTAATCCTTAAATATTTACAGAGATAGGGGAGGGAGGGAAGGGAATGTTGCTCTTCCTTTGCTCCTCGCCCGCGCCGGACTTCCATCCGACGGCCAGTATTTGCGTTACGGGTATTTCGGTTCAATCATTCTCCCGTAGAACGTATGTCGTAGCGAGGGGGAGGGAGGGGAAGGAGGAGTGGTAATAGGATGAACGGTAATTCTGCAGTCTCCTGTGCACGCGCACATCTCGACGAGTGTGGAGAGAGAGAGAGATAGAGAGAGAGAAAGAGAGAGAGAGAGAGGGAGAGAGAGGGAGAGAGGGAGAGAGAGGGAGAGAGGGAGAGCGCGGAGTACCTACCGTCGTAAGTGGAGTACGCGACCATAATATCTGCATAGGCGGGGATGCTGTACGTGGTCTTCTTGCTGTCTGTCTCATGAATAATTTTCACCCCTTTGTCCAGTTGCGCCCCTCGGCACGCCTGCGGAAAAGAAAAATGCACGTGCGAGAGCGGCTGGCGGCTACTGCATTTCGCCGGGCGCGCATAAAAGATGCACGGCAGTCGCAGAGGATTTCCTGCGCGCGGGGCCGCGAGGGCATTACGCGAATTGTTGAAAATGTTTTAACGCGTCGCCGCGGGAGCCGATCGCGAACGTTTATTGAGACACTCGGGACAAGCAGCGGCGCAAGGGAGGAACGGAAAAGGAAGAAAAGAAAGAAAAGGGGAGGAAAACGCGAGCAAACTGGAGCCGAAGGCGGCGCAACGGCCGAGCCGCGCGGTACGCCAAGTATCGCGTAATTGCGCAATTGTGCGCTTATATTATGCCTCGCGTCCTACATTCGACGTTTGTTTCGCGCAAAGAGAAAGTCGATGCTGAACAATACGTGGAGCGTGGACCGTTCTATTGTGCAATCGGTTATGCAATTGCGGCCAATGTAAAAGATGCAGGTATGCGGCGCCGTGTGTACGTGTAGGTGTAGGTGTGCCTGCGTTCGGCACGTTCAATCGAGGCCAATATTTCAATCGATAGTCGTTAACGCAAGAGAATACGAAATCTAGAGAATACGAATAGTAACAAGCAGTCGGATTATTTGCTTCGGTGTGACTTTTATTGATCTCTGCGTCGACGGTCCGTCTTCTGCCATCGCGCGACACGCGCGTGACGGGAAAAGTTAATTGAGAAGACTTTAAGGAAGGCAAGTGAGACGATTCTTTATCGAAGTGGTCGAAGCAGTCGTTTTAAAATAAAGGACGACGAAGGGAAGAGTCCTGATGCGGCGAATTAAATTTACTCGCATTGTCCGCAATTTTTACGCACACTTTTTCTACAATTTCATGCAATGGTAATTGTGTTGTACTCTTACTCGTACGTTGTTTGCAATTTCTATGCAAAAATAGGAACTGCGTGAAGAAAATGCCACGAGACGATTGCACGCAGATCTGTCGATGTTTACGGCGTCGTTAACGGTTTAAGGCACGGCGACTCGAGCGCGGAAGCGCGGTAAGAAATGTAGGGGTCACTTGCTTGAGGCTTTCAAGCCGCGCCGGGAATGGCAGTGATTCCGATAGATACGGCCGCAGTGCGGCACGAATTTCCGCCGTGATTTACATCGTTTGCAAATCACGATAATCCGTTACGTTCTCGCGGCGCTTTCGGCTCTCCCCGTCGCTCCGCGCGCTTCAAATTTCTCATACGGGGACATTTCGGGCACGAGTCATTAATTCACGATCGACTACGCTCGCTAACGTTGCACGTTCATCGCGCGGAAACGAGTCAGTTTAACGATTACACGCGTCGAGCATTGAAAGACGCGCGACGCGTGATTTACGTCATTACGACGCGCGCGCGCAATTATTCCCAAATGATTGATTTCTCCTCCCGGTCCTGTCACGCCAACTCGACAAGCACGCTGCCGTATGCGTACTTTTTCGCCTTCGTGCATGTGAGCGAGCGGCTGTCCTGTAATGATCGCTCCGCGAATATTTTTGAGCGCAAGCCCGACGCTCGAGAGGCGCGAGCTTAAATTACTAATCCTCCCGATCGTCACAATTGCTAACTTTATCGCGCTCATTTATCCCCGTCGCGTTTTATCTTCGGGCTCACCGATCCTCCGGCTCTATTCGAGACGAAAGCGGTAATTTCGGGAGGTATCCGGCCGGTTGGCTTTCCGCTTCTTTTTCTCTCGTGACAAGTAAATTACAATCATTACAATCGGGAGAATGGGCCTTGATAAATCGTCCCACGTGCAATCTCCGCGATCCGCCCGATACATCGACCGCTGAATCTTCAACGACCGCACTTTTGTCTCGAACACAGACCGGCTGCGAGCGAAAGAACGATCCCTTACTTCCTCCCCCCCCCCGCGATACCTGCGCGATACTTTTGTCGGCTTTCAATTAACTCCCGCCACTCATCCTCCGACGCGCCGGTGGACATTTAAATCGCCCTCTATGAATCATCCCCCGGAATTGCGAATGTAACGATCGGCGGCGAGGAATGTTTCTCGACGCGCGAGTGCGAGCGTATGCATTTGTCACAGCGCGCATCTCGCGATGAAATCTCGCGCGACTCGCCTCCGTGCCTTCTTTTTCCATCACGCGGATGTTTATGCGTGCGCAGAGAACGGGGTGCGCGCGAATGCGCGGCGATATCGCGCTCTGGAGAAACCCGCGTCACGCCGAGTTTCGCCGGGCGGCGCGGCGGGTCGAAAAGCTCGAGTGTCCGGTTGGCCAAACATTTATGTACGCGTCGAGCGTCGAGAGAGAGAGAGAGAGAGAGAGAGAGAGAGCGGGGGCGCGAGGAAGCGTGACGGAAATATTCGTCGATAAAAAAGGAAGACGCACGCGCGTGCGCACGAACGTAAAAAATATCGCGCGATGCGAATCGCCGCTCGGCGGTTATTTCTCTCTTCCCTCCTCTCCTTCTTCCTTTCTTTTTATTTCGTTCGCCGGCGGAATCCTCGAAGCGATGCACACGCGCATCACTTTGGGAATTATGCAAATAACAGTTTTTGCCGCCGTTCTCTTTCCCGTCCCCGGCGTGGCGGGACGGGGGTGTAATCTTAATTACTGCGGCGCATCGCGGACGCGGGGAGTCGTCCCTGTCCCCGCCCCCGTCGCCGCTCTTGCCTTCGCCCCCGTTCGCGCGAACAGGTTCCATTACATTGCAGAATGCACATATTTCATTGGCTGCGCCCGTTAAAAACCCGACGGTGCACTAATGTGCCGCGAGTCCGCAAATCCCTCGGAGATCGTCGTGAGGCAGATAAATGGGGGATGTCTCTAAATGGAAAACGATCTCGGCAGGATTATCCCCGGGAAAAGAATTAGATATAGCGCGTGGCATTGTTGTCGGAATTATGCAACCGCGTCGACTTAATCGGTTTTGAAATACGGACGATCGCCGCGCAATTATGCGCCGCTCCCGTTTGCGACACGCCGCGGCGCGCGTCTCGTATTCACTATTAGCTCCGCCGCAGCCATCCATTTCGGTATCATCTATTTCAACGTCATCTATCCTCGTCCGTTTGAGGGTAATTACAGGAACCCGGAGGAAAATTCCGCCGCGGTAGCTAGAGCGCGGGAGGTGCGCGCGCAAAACGGATATCGGTAAGTGAATCATGATCTTCCCGCGCTCCTCGGCGGGATTTCGGACAGCGGAAATGCAATTAAAGGAAAAGCGTCCCCGAGTCCGCTGCAATGAGTGACAAACAAGTTCGAGGGTGAATCGATTCAGACTTCTCGTTCGGGACGGATCGGGGTGATCTGCGAGTAGTAGCGATGTACTGGGCGAGTGCAAAAGTTTTCGACGGATCCCTCAAAAATGTCGTGACTGATACGACCTTACGGTCGTACGTTTACAAATGTGTCGGTACGTACGAAGTACCGTTGGATAACGCCGGTAATGGCCGGATAATGGCGATCACTTGGCAGTGTAACGGATAGATCGTTTTGAATCTAATCACTCGGTCCATTCTTCTACAGCGAAACTTTTGCACCATCGGCCGATAGTTCCGGCTTACCGTATATACATGAAATTCCGCGAAATAATGATCTTTTTCCACTGACACGGCTATCCTTTCTTCACGTCTTCCGAGCATGTGAGACACGCAATCGCATTTCCGGCTAACTGAATTTATATCTGTCGCGCACGGCAAAAATATCGTACATCAGAAGCGCAACCAGGAAACGTAATTATCTTTTTTGTTTCGTACTCTCGTCTGTCGTTTGTTTTGATGGCAATGCCATTAAAATACATCCGTGGCTTCACAAAATGGAGACAACGCGACGCGTCCCTCTTATATTCCTGACACATAATTTTCGCGGATTAAAATTATCCAAGGATGATACCACATCGGTCGCGATCAGCTCCTTCGTTCGTGCATGTCTCGACTCGCGCGAATATTCAGACTGTAGCATACTTTATTGAGCCTTTGAATGTGGAGTACTTAAGAATTAAACGATTTTTCTCAGAACGGTGTGCATTTTGGTTTGCCGTATAGTTCAGCCAATGAAAGAATGGAATTTTTGAAAAATTGACCAGCGCTCGTCTCGAGACGAATTAAATCATGCAAGAGGAAGAAAGATTGCTTGAATTAACGCGACTGTGAACGAACCGGACGCGTTTTGTTCGAACGGAATTTCTGGCTCTTGGAGCCGAATTTGGTTCACAGATAAGTTACTTGATTCATCGATGAATAAATTTATTTGATAAGAGACAGGAATTCCGTCTCGACGATAGAAATAACTGTTTGGAAAATTGACGAGCACAGCGAATCGATACGAGTGAAGTCTTGCACGAAGAAGAAAAGTAGATAATTGAATTAGCGCGACGACGAACGAACCGAACGCGTTTTGTCTCTTTTCCTCAACATGTACATGTTGCGACCGCTAAAACATAAACCGCAAAAAAGCACAGACACAAGTGCTGCACATCGCTGATAATTGCTACTTTTATCGGGAATAACTTCGAACCGAAGAAATTCGTCAGACGTACATTTTTGCGGCACCGAGAAGGAAGAACCCTTAAAGGCTACCATGGCTGAAATTTCACCCCATGCGAATTTTTGAATTTAAAAAAAAAACGTAACCACATTGACAATATCAATTTTATAAATTTATTTATTCACCCTATCAATAGCGACAACATTATGATAAAGCAGATCAATTCCCGCATATACTTTGATATAAACAATAACGAGAAAAGTTAGCTTGGCGTGATACTTGATGCTAGGCTTTTAAGGGTTAATCGACCAAGATGGCGCGCCAGTATTTCCGCCAGTCACCGCGTCACCGTCTGAAACCGCCGAACGTTATCACGAATGAATGCGAACACGAGCACGGGAGGAGCGATCCGTCGCTCGACAAGTGATTGAAAATTCCGAAGGAAGACGGGCAGACACGCGGCTTGACGGCGCTCGCGCCGACAGATTCCCCCGCAAGAGCCGTGCCGACCGGCGGCGATCATTAACAACGGTTAACCCGGGCGCCAATCTGTACTCGCAACACAGAGCTCGTTAATTCATCCAGTCAGTGCATGCGATTCGCGCGATGAATCCGCGTGTAACACGGCGCGTTCATTCGGAATGATCCATCACGGGGGCGATCGTTTGTTCGTCGACCAAGGCGAAAGAGCGAGAGGGAGAGAGCGAGAGCGAGAGAGCGAGAGAGCGAGAGAGCGAGAGAGAGCGAGAGAGAGAGAAGGGCTTGATTCTTTGAAATTCGCTCGGCGCGGCTGGTCGTCATTGTTCGGCTCGAGACTCGCGCGCGCGATTCGGACCGCGGATTTCATCAGCTGCGATGTATACGGCGCGCACCTGTCAGATAACGTACCTGAATGAAGAACAACTTGGGTTTGCCGGCCAGGCTGGGGCATCGATCCCCCGTGAAAGGAGTCCACAGCATATCGACTGGATACAGGCTGTCGGTCGAGTGCAATAGACCCGATTCGCCGTGTGACATTGCGACCACGATCAGGCAGTCGGCATCCGTGTGGTCTTCCGCAGCGGCTTTAATGAAAGGATTAATTAATCCCTCGCGGTGGGCGTAAACGGCCGTCGGACTGTTTAGCCTAATAGTTTGTGCACAAACAAGCGGCTTCGCTGCGGGAGAGACAGACAGAGACAGAGACAGAGACAGAGACAGACAGAGACAGAGAGAGAGAGAGAGAGAGAGAGAGAGAGAGAGACAGACAGAGAGAGAGAGAGAGAGAGAGAGAGAGAGAGAGAGAGAGAGAGAGAGAGAGAGAAAGGGGGGAGGAGAGCAGCGGGAGAGATTCGCGCAGATATTGCCGAACTTGCAGCATGGCCGCGCGACCGTGCTCGCATCCTACGGATTTTCGTATTAACATCTTGGAATTAGGAGTGAAGTTTCTTCCGCCCGACCGACCGACCGACCGGCCGCTCGTCCGTCCGCCCGCTCGCTCGCTCCTGAATAAAATTGTGCGAAAGAATTTCTTATTAAGGTCCTGGAGCGCGGCTGTAACGGTGAGTTACGACGCGAGAGGCGAGGAATTACACGTAGTTTACTCTTCTCGCGCGCTAACGACACGCGCGTTACGGCGCAAGAAGCGAAGAATGCAAATGGTTTTTCCGTGCGAGGTGCTCCTCGGGGACAAGACGATACGGCGCGATGACACTGACATAGGTGGTCCGCGTTAAAGTAGTACAAATTAATCGCTGTCGCTGCTCCTGCAAAAAGGAAAGCGCAGAACGCGAGGGAGGGCAGGAGGGGGGAAACGAAGGGAGAACGCGCGGGGAATTAAATTTTTCCCGTTCGCCGATTGCGCTTATTAATACGAGGTGCGGGCGACGAACGCAGGTATCGTTTCCAGAAGAGCTAAAAAATAATTGATCCTTTGTCCGGGGAATCAATTGTGCGCTTTTGTGCGATCGGCGTGTTGATTATGTATAAACATTAGCGGATATTTTATGAACGCTCATATTGTCCGTGCTTATTTTGTTGCTCACTTTGCGAAGTAAAAACTTTCATTACGCAAGACTGCCCTGTGATAATATTCAGTGATAACATTCAGTTTCATAATTTTCGAGAAATTTTAATAAAATGGAGAGGAGGTACCGTATTAAATCCTTTTCAAAAGGACAAAGTCGCCGCTCGCCGCTGGCCACTCGCTCGTTCGCCCGTTCGCGAGTGAATTTTCGAGGCGGGGCTTTAAATGAAAGGATTGATTAACTCCACGCTCGTGGCAACAATGTCGCTGTTTATCGCGACTGGCCGCGTCGCGCCGCGATGTTCGCGGCTGGCAAGCCGCGCACGCGGTGCCGATTATGGTAGCGCTTGTTACGTTACAGAACGCGCTACAGGACTCAATAATGGCGATCCGTGTGTGCGAGAGCAACGGTTTTGTTCCTCCTTTCTGCCGAGCGGGGGAGGCAAACAAGCGAAAGTATGAATTCAGCACGCAGCGGTCAGTTCAATCGGGCACGTCCGAAATTTTTTGTCGCACTGAGCCAGAGAAGGAGAGAAAGAGAGAACGAGAGGCAGAGAGATATTGTACCGACGTTACTCGGGAGTGCGGATTTTCACGAACGATGAAAATTTTAACATCCTTACATTCCGTTTTCGCGTAGCTCCGTTTATTACGAAGCGATTACACAGCGATCCTGTTTCGCAGTCGCTTGTTCGGTTTCTTTCAGGGCCGCCGCCGCCGCCGTGCGGGATCGCCGCTGGCGTTTTACTGAAATTCGCTCTTTTCTGCCGTTTCTTATCGCTTTATCGGACATTTTAATCACGAGATCTCTCCCCCGCGTGTTCCCTCGCCGCCGCGTCTCTTCGACTTGAGCGCTGCGCTGCGGCGCGACGAGTCGTTCTTACGCGATTTTTCGCGAAACATCGATCTTTGTTTTCGGGAGAAAGCGTTACATTCAACGACGGTCGATAATCCAATTAATCCGCGGTGTTTCGGTCCGCGGTATTTCCAATGCGCTCGCACACTCGCGCGCGCGCGCGCGCGCGCGTTTGCAATTAAGGAGCAGGATATAAATCGCACAAAGAGGGCACACACGTCGGCCGCGGCGGTAGCAAAATCGACGCGAGGCGTATCCAGCAGGTGAGTTATACATGAAGTGCGCTCCGGAAGATGGTCTCGCGCAAAAAAGCCCCGCTGAAGCGACGTTTCCACGCGCGCTCTGTTCCCCCCGGAAGAACGCATCGCCCTTGGAGTTTGTCGCTCGCGCGCGCGCGCGCGCGCGCGCGTCGTAATGAAAGCTTACGCTCGCGCTCATCTCGCTCGCGGGCAGGCGGCGAAAAACTTGGCCGCTCGGAAAATCGCACGGCATCTGTTCGCCGTAACGATCGTCTAATATCGCGTGATTTTCAACCGCCGGCCGCGCCGCGTACTCGTAGACAGCCGAGGCTGCCGAGGAAAGGAGGGCGGGGAGAGCGGAAGAAAAAGGAAATTCAAGACGACGATAACCTCCACGACCGGCCACGTCAGCCGATATTATCTCGCGGCCGTTACTCGCGCCGTAGTTTCTCCCCCGGATTTTTCATCGGCCGTCGCTCGCTCGCTCGCTCGCTTGCGAGCGGACGCGTGTTCGCGAATCCGTTCGAACACATCGCGAAGCGGAAACAAACAGCCGCGGGTAAATATTCTCGCTCGCTAGCGGCTCTCCGCCGCGCGCGCGCGCGCAAGTATGCGATAATAACAATTTCTCCGCTCCATCGAGCATTAACAACGTCGTCCGCACGGAATCATCCGTTCGGACCGGCGTAAACTGCGAACAACATTTTGCCCGTTCTGACGTCGTAATTCAACGTGGCGGACGTGCCGGTATCGCCGTCGCTCGTACGCTCAAGTATAAATCGCCCCAAGTGCAGTCGGCGCGCAGTAAATTCGACCCGGCGGTGTAGCTGCACGCTGCGCGGTCGGACGGAAGGGGGGAGGGGAGAAGAGGGAATGGCGAGAGGGCGGTTAACAAGGCGATGAGGCTCTCGTGCTAATAATATTCCGGCGAAATATTTCCTTGCCGCGCGCGAACGGCGCGAAGGCGCGAACGGCGCCGCCGGCGGCGGCGGTCGCGTCGTCGCGTCCGTCCGATCGATGGGCGGATTAGACGCGCGCTATAAATTCGGAAGTTTAATACTCCCGTTGGCTGATACTTCTCGCCGAGCGAATCCACCCCCGTGTGCCGAGCGTCGCGAATATACGGGGTGTCTCGGCTAGAACTTGAAATTTTAGCGAAGGGTGCCGTTTGTTTCGAGGCTGCGCCTCGACCTCGATCCTCGTCGAGTCGAGGAAGGATGCGGAAGGACTTGGCTGCGGTTGTGGCGTCACGAATATCCTTCCGCAATTCTCGGCGCCGCGTGTGCGTTAACGCTCGGCGGTGTTAACAAGCGCCGGCGAGAATTCATTCGAGATATTCTGCGGGCGACGGGGAGGTGCGGAAAGGCGTAGCGTCCAATTGGACTCTCTCAGCGCGGAAAATTCGATCTCGCCTTAGCGGGATCTAAATCCGCACTCGCAGAAAGCTGCTGCTGTTGCTGCAGCGGCGCTTCGCGGAGGGCACCCTATGTGTGTGTGTGCGTGTGTGTGTGTGCGCGTATATCTCGGGAAGATTGACGCGAACGGGAATATATTTACATGCGGCGACGGGAGAGACGCTACGTCGCGAGAAGAATGAATTACGCCGAAGAAATGCAAATAATTGCGACCTACCCGTGAATGGTCGCGGTCGCGGTCGCGAGAGTTATTTCGACGTGAGGCGCGCCGGAATCGCGAGACGAGGGTTTGACGCGTTCTCTGGCGCACCGCCAATCTCTGCGTTTCGATTTTGCCGGGAGAATAGAATTTACGGTTGTGTGTCTGCGCGTCTCGCGCGAGCTTTATAACGGGAATGTCGAACATGCTCGAAGGGTGTTTCTTTTGCATAGTTGCTTATGCGTACAACGGAGCACAATCGCAACGCAATGCACGCATAGAGACAAAGAGAACCCGAGGAGAGAGAGAGAGAGAGAGGGAGAGAGGGAGGGGGGGAAGATAAATGCGTCTATTATCGTTCCAGGATTAATTTTCCACAACAGCATTGTGGCAAAAGAAAAAACAACAGACACAGAACTGAATACAGAAATATCTCGAAAGGAAAGAAAAGAGAAACACGATTATATGACAGTGAATTTAAACGACGAGTATAAAAAAGCAAATAGGACCTTTGTTTAGTAAGAAGTACATTTCGGATATTTATGTGAGAATGCGCGCGACCCAGTGCAACGCTTTGTATACGTTAAAGTTATGAGAAACGGTGAAGTTATGAGAAACTACGACAAACTACTTTTGCACCAACATTGTGCGGGAGAGGAAATTTGTCAACTCCTCAACTTAAAGCACTTAATGTGCCTACGATTTTTAATCGACGGGCTATTGGGGGACAGATTATTGATTGGAAGTGGAATTGGCTTGAATTGGGATCGATTGTTGAAGGAAGACGGATCCACAAGAAGCGACAGTCGCATTGTAGTAGGGTCTTTAGAAAATGGTAGTTTCACAGAATGGCGGTTCGAGATCCCGTTGAAGAACACTATAATTACTTCTCCAGAGGAGCTCTTTTCTTTTTGCGGAAGCGTCGCGGTGCGTCTCTTTGTCTCGAAACGCAATCATAAGCTCGGATGTCGTCCAGGTGTACCAGAGATGCCAGAGATCCCGTTAGGAAAGCGGGAGAGAAAGAGAGAGATAGGGAGGGTGGGGGAGAGAGAAAATAAAAAAGAACGTTCTCTCTCGATTAGTTACGTGTCTCTCGCCGCGTGCGGAAATGTTCCGAACGAGCAGAAATTGATTTTTTTGGATTCGAGGTTTTCGCACAGAGAATCGTGTGCGCGGCAAAACCGCGATTTTGAAACTTTTATTCGCCTATCTGTCAACGATACGGTTTAGATCATAGAAATGTGAATCGCGGAACTTTTGCGCACGCGCGTGAATAAACTTCTCTCTTGGAAGTATAACCGTTATTTCGTTTCTTGAATTTTGCACTTCGACAAGGGAAACGTTTTCTTT